TGTCCTACATCCTAAGGCATTTTTATGGGGGGTGGGGAGGAAGCCCTTGGGGCATCTAGTAAGTCCTATAAGTCTTAGTGGAAAATCAGATAAAATTTTCTTTTATTTTTTGTCCTGGGGTCAAGTTTAATGTTAAGTATTTCATTCCAGTTACTTCAAATGTTCTGAGATAGTTAAGTTAAAACACAAAAGCATTAGTGATACATTTAAGCTTTAGTATGCAAAGTAAACACATACTACATATTGATTAAAATCTGAATTTAAAAGAAGAAATCATCTCCCCCAGAAGCATGTGACACAACATCAATTTAAAAATGAAAGAGAAAATCTCATACACTGGTTGATTAATGCCAAGACTTTTTTTTTCAGAAGTTTGAGAAAACGGAGTAAACCAAGTAAAAATTCATGCGTTTGCCAAGCTGAAACACACAATAAGGACAAATTTATTTCATCTGTCCTTGCACAGGACCTTATCAAAATGTAAAAGGCATCAGTTTGAAAACCAACAATGAACTGTGTGAGTGCTACTTGAAGAAATCACATTTTCAAGTCACACATTATTTTAGGACAATTTAAATACCAAATCAAGAAATAATGTGCCTTCTGAAAAGGAGTAGCTGTATCCACTAAACATTAAATCAAGAAACAATTTAAAAAGCTCCAAGACATTAAATAGATAAAGCGTACCTGTGGCTCTTTAAAAGATCATATTTCTACACAGATGTTGCATCACCAAGACTTTATGTAAAGGGGTGGAGTGCTTTTATTAAAATTCTATTTTCTTTTACACACTCTTTAAAAAGTTCCGAACGATATTAACATACAGGAGAAAGCTCAAATACAATGTTAAAAGAATAGCTGCATTTGGTTAATGAAATCAAACTTTACAGGAGCTATAGTACAACAGAATTCACTTAATATTTTAATAGTAAAACTTTAAAAATATTACTGTTTTAAGAAAATAAAAGGCATTAAAAGAATAGCTAGTAGGATCTTTTGCTGTTAGTCTGCAAGACTGAATCATCATGTGAAATACATATTCATCAGCCCCTTGTAAGTCTCACCTGATTCAAATTGACTGACCAGTCTAATCAATATGGCATATCTGTACAACCAAGCTTTAAACTCAATACACAGCAATTAGAAGAATACATTTGAAAACTGAAAAAGCAAAACAGAAACAAAAACCTAGGGGTAAACATATACATGTCCTATCCCAACACACTGCACCTGTACCTAGCAAGCTATTTTTGACCAGCAGCGTCTCACAACTACAGCTGATCTTAGGGTGCGTCTCTAACAAGATTAACCCAGCCTCTCTACTTCATCACCTGGAGAGTTATTAACTCCTGAAGTCGCCATCCTGCCAGTCTCTTCCCAGCTTTTCCCAGCAAAGAAAGCACCTCAGCTGCCATGTTGAAGATGCTCTTTCACACTGCAGTAAAAGCTCCCTCCCATAATGCCTTAAGAACATCCCCGGCATGCATCAGATTATGTTTTTTCTAGGTCATAGGATCTTATAATTGGGATCCTATCTATATGTGTTGAAATAAGGTGATCTAATGTGTTGAAATGAGATCTGGGAGCCAATGTTGCTGCCTACACACTTCACATACATTGTGTAAATATATATCTATTCCTCATTTTAAGTGATCACCATACACTTGATTTTTAAATACGAACCTTTCAAAAGTCAGGAGTTGGTTGTATGGATTTCCTCCAAAGCTGACATTTAAGGAATCGTGAGGATAAACCATGCTAGTAATGGCCACATACTGATAAGACATAATGTTACCATCCAACTTTATCAGACATCCAGAAAAAGGGAGAAAAACTAAGTTCCAAGAGGTATGTGTTTAGAGACATAAAAAAAGGGTTCAGTGCCATAAAGGGGTAGTAGACAGCACAGTGCCCATTTCAATGTTTTGCAGCTACTGCTGAAGATTAACTGCTATAGATCCCTGTAAACAAAACTTTGTTGCTAAATTAGGGGGCACCATTGCAGTGTGGTGTAGCCTTTAATTTTGTCTGTAAAGTCTTCTATTACCTAGGTAATTTTTTCTCCAAAGGAACAAAGTTATGGTTTTAACAGAAGCTAATCAAAAATAATTGGGTTACAGAACTTCACTTTAAAATTAGGGGACCTGGATGGCTCAGTCGGTCGAGCGTCGAACTTCGGCTCAGGTCATGATCTCACGGCTCGTGAATTTGAGCCCCATGTCGGGCTCTGTGCTGACAACTCAGAGCCTGGAGCCTGCTTCGGATTCTGTGTCTCCCTCTCTCTGGTTCTCTTCCCCACCCCCCACCAAGAAAATAAACATTAAATAATTTTTAAAAAATTAACTTGCAGCTATAATAAATGTATTTCCTCCAAGTGAGAGGTACACAGACTACATCTCCTGTCGTGCTACGTACTTACTAAAAATAAAGTAATACAAAGTGTAGGGTTTTTTTGGATAGATACAAAAAAAAAATCTGTGACCAGCAATAATACTTCCCATAGTAATAACTTTGTGTACCAGGGAGAATTTTGCAACAATACCTTTTTTGCCACATGACCTACCCTCCACATTTGCTAGAGGAGCCAGTCTAACAGGTTAGCTCTTTGTTAATGTTGTTACCCAGTACTTTATACTGTTAAAAATTATGCAACAATGTAATCTTAAACCATTTCTTACAAAACGGCCAAGTAAGTCACTAAAATTCAGCCCCATGGCCACCATGTGAAACTGGATGATGCTGTTTTTTTTTTAAATCTCACTCTGCTCTTCAGTATTAAATATACTTTTATAAGTGAGGCTAATAAAAGATCTCAAAGACTGATCAATCTGTTGAAGACTAAAATCCTATAGCCATTCAGTCAACTTGCAAATATTAGCACTAGAAGGGCACAGGTATTCCTGTGACAGCAGATCATTCAAAATGTATGTTTATTCTTAACGTTTCATTATGGGGGTGCCTCGCATTTTTAGAAATTAAAGAATTGCTAACTAAAGCATGTATTTATGAAGCTCAATACAAGGAGCTATGGAAAAGTACTCATAGAGTCAATGTCTCCTCCATACTAGGGATGAGGAATACTTTCCATTCTCCTCTCTTCACATTCATTTGTTTACCTGGTCCATTTTTGCTTCACTACAGTGAGGGAGGGAGGGAAAGGGAATTCAGTATTTCTGTTTTGAAGTGTGTTTTGGGATAGGCAAGGCCAAGCTCTGCCAATTGAAGACGAGTCTTTAAAGTGTCAAAGACATTCCCAAGTACCTGTACACACTCCTGAACACAACTGGCCATATGCTTCTGCTAATGCTTTTGGCAACTCCTACTCTTTGACGTGGAAGTTTTTTTTTTTTTTTTGTCTTACATATCTAGATGGGCTGTAGGCCGACTGCTATAAATGTTTATGTATGTTTGCAGGGTGTGTGGGTGTGGGTGTGTGTGTGTGTGTGTCTGTGAGTGAGAGAGTGTGAGAGAAAAGAAAGAGGGAGGGAGAGAGGGAGGAAGGGAGGGAAGAAAACAGACTCTCTGTAGATAAATAAATTAACTATAGAAGTCTGGATGCTATTGCCCTCACAATGGAACCACAGTCTATTTCCCAAAGGAAACACTAACCTCAATGATATCTTACTTCTTCGATCAATCACAGGATAGCATGCTAAGTAGCTGAATTCAGATACAGCAAATTCAGGTCTGCTTATGAAACCCTCTGGCTACGTTTAAGGTTTTTCTAATGGAAGCTAATAATTGTTAGACTTTAGCACTGAGCTGTACAAGAACATCAAGTCTTGAATTTCTTTACACTTGCACTTCAAAAATACTTATTGGCATGTAAGAGCTACCAGCTCTTCTATTTCAAGTTTACAACCTATTATAATTAGAGCACTTCACAAAAAGGCCAGAAATACAAGAGAGGCAGTATCATATACAGGGTTTGGGTCCTGGTTCAGCAACTTGCTGAACTGTAAGTCCTAGAACAAATTAAATAACCTATTGTCTGTTTCCTCATCTGTAAAATGAGAAAGCTGGGTTCTTGTTTTTAGATATCACAGGCCAGTAAAAGTTTTAAAAACAAAAACAAAAGATGGTAAGAGGAATAACACAGCTGCCTTGGGGGGCGGGCAGGTATGGACATTTAAAAAAAAACCCTACCATTTGTTATCACCATTATTTCAGAGAAGATAGAATGTATTTAATGCCCCCTAACTAGATGGACAGATCTTATAATAATAAGTAATCATGTAAACGGGAAGAGTTTAGCTTTAAGAAACAAATAACCATTGTCCTTACTTTCCTCCCTTCACTGTGGACTAGTAAAAACTCTTCACTGACCAGTGTTTGTCTGAAAATCAATGTTTGGGAAATGCTGGACTAGGTAATTTTCAACGTCCAAGAGTCAAACACTATGATTTTAATTTTAAGTGCTCTGCTATATTTCTTTGATTCCATGCTATGGTCTAGAGTAGATACTCCAGTGAAGGACAGGACTAATACTTACAATCTGAAAATCAGAAATATATTTAAATCTGTTTTGAGAAACAGTAACTAGAATAAGCTTTAATTGATTAGGGAAGGTATATACTACTACATGTCTAGTTTCATCAGTAATAATGAACCTCATTACAGATGAGGAAATTTAGGCAAAGGGAAGCAAGACAGCTTGTCAAAGACTCAATAGCCTGTAAGCCTAAACAGTCAGAAGTAGAACTCTAATCTGTGAGTCCATGTTTTGGTGTCATTCAAATTAAAAGATTTTACTTAGATCTCAATTATTGCATCCCCTTTTATAAATGAGTGATGATGGTCTAAAGTTTAGAAGTTGTACAGGGTAAAAAGTTTTCCCATTTTACTTCTCCAAATACTGCCTTTTTAAGACAAATATCAAGACTGGCAGGGTTTTTCTACTACAGAATGAATGAGTCAAGATGCCTGTTAGTATTGTTAAAACTTAATTCTCCCCAAAAGCTGATAAAAGTACAAAGTTAGAATTTTTCAAGAATACTTACAAATTTCCTTTTTCTCTGAAGAACACGTCTATCTTTTTTGATTTCAATCTGCAATAAAAGACAACATTTATGTGTACAATGACATGAGGAAAGAACTCCTTAAAAAAAAAACCTCAAGTGCTGTTTCACATTACCTGTGCATCTTAGCTCACGATGAGCCAGCTATCAAAGGAAAAACAAGAAATGACTAGAGATGATCATCTGGCTAGAAGGAGTGCTATTAGGATCTCAGAAAAGTAACTGAGCCTGATTAAGAAACAGTCAAAACTCTGTGGGGAAAACGGCAAGATTTAAAAAGTGGGTAGAGGGGGCACATGGGTGGCTCAGTTAGTAAAGCACCTAGCTCTTGGTTTCAGATCAGATCATGATCTCATGGTTCGTGAGTTTGAGTCCTGTGTCAAGCTCTGTGCTGATGGTGCGGAGCCTGCTTGGAAATCTCTCTGCCCCTCTCCTACACACACACACACACACACACACACACACACACACACGCACATTCTCAAAATAAATTTTAAAAACTTAAAAAAAATGGGCAGAGGAACCAAATAAACATTTTTCCGAAGAAGACATGCAGATGGCCAATAGGCACATGAAAAGGGACTCAACATCACGCATCATCAGGGAAATGCAAATTAAAACCACAAAGAACTATCACATCACACCTGTCAGGATGGCTATCATCAAAAAGACAAGAGATAACAAGTGTTAGATGTGGAGACAAGAGGATGTGGAGAAAAGGGAAGCTTTGTGTACTCTTAGTGGGGATGTAAATTGGCGCAGCGACTACTGAAAACAGTATGGACGTTGCATAAAAAGTTAACAACACAACTTTTCTATGATTCAGCAATCCCACTTCTGGGTATATGTCCAAAGGAAATGAAAACAGGACATCAAAAAGGTATCTGCACTCCCATGTTTACTATAGCATTATTCACAATAGCCAAGATAATGGAAACAACCCAAATGTCCGCCAGTGGATGAATGGATAAAGATGTGGCGTGTATATATAATGGAATATATTCAACCACAAGAAAGAAGGAAAGCCTGCCATTTGTAATGACATGGATGGACCTTGAGGACATTATGCTTAGTGAGGTAAGTCAGGCAGAGAAAGACAAATGTTGCATGATGTCACTCATACATGGAATCTAAAAAAGCCAAACTCATAGGAAGAGAGTATAATGGTGGTTATCAGGGGCTGGGAAGTGGGGAAGAGAGACTGGAGAGATGTTGTTAAAGATGAGTAAGATAGAAGATCTAATGCACAACAAACATAGTGATCACAGTCAACAAGACTGTGTCATATACCTCCAAACTGCAAAGAAACTAGATCGTAAATGTTCTCACCACCAAAAAGAAATGACAATTATGTGATGCAATAGAGGAGTCAGCTGAAGCTACAGTGGTAATCATAACAATATACAAATGTATCAAATCGAAATCAACACGTATGCCCCGCACAATGTTTTACATCAACTATATCTCAATAAAAAACTTCAAACTAAAAAGAAAATGGCAAGAAGTAGGAGTCATGCTCTTAACAGTTTTATTTGTACTTCTTATTCCTCCCCCCATCCCTCCCAGTCAGGACAGGAGCCAAGTTCAGAGACAAAGTCTAACTACAGGAAACTAGTCAGTCAATCTACCTAGATATCCCCACCCCCAAGTGCCTGCAGACGCCTGGCAATTTCCCCATAAAGACCCAAAATGAATAATTTCCTTTAAAAAGCATAAGGTTCTTTCCAAATTGAAATACAGCCTTGGTCTAGGTAAAAACCTAGAGATATTTTCATCTTTTTTCAATGAATATACAGATCAGTTTCATGATGTTCTTCAAGACATATATGCCATGAAGGTTTAGGGTCAGATTGCAGCTGAAGATTAACATATTTTGTACAATGCAGGAGACAAGGACTTACCATCTGAATACTCAGAATGGTAAAATAAGGTCCTTCAACAATTTGACATTGCTTACTTATATATTTCAACTCTACTGGGGTATCCTGGGCACAATGATGATTTTGAAGAAGAAATGAGGTCTTATTTCCACACAGTAGTACTCAGTACCACTTAAGCAGGACTATGAGAAGGACCTTTCAAAAAAAATTTTCGGGGGCGCCTGGGTGGCTCAGTTGGTTGGGCGTCCGACTTCAGCTCAGGTCATGATTTCACAGTTCGTGGGTTCAAGCCCCACGTCGGGCTCTGTGCTGACAGCTAGCTCAGAGCCTGGAGCCTGCTTCAGATTCTGTGTCTCCCTCTCTCTCTGCCCCTCCCCTACTCATGCTGTCTCTCCCCTCCTTCAAAAAAATGAATAAACTAAATTTTTTAAAAAAATCTAGATGCTCCAATGGAAGTCAAAAACATCCATAGGCCTAATCACCATGCTAACTAGCTGGTATTAACTCAGTTCACTATCTCTTTTGCTACCATCAGCAAACAATGAAGGGAAGGATGATATATACCAGGACCTATCACTAACAAAGCATGTCTTTTGTTTTGTTTGATGTTCAGAACTGCTTTTCAAATGCAAGTGAATAGCCACAATCTAGTTTTGGGGAGGAAGTGCTAGGGACAGTGTTCAGTACATGTGTGAACACAGATGGTTAAAACTACTTATAAACAGAAGGCATGCTACTTAACATTTTCTTATTTTTCTCCCACAGGGCTAACATTTGATATCAACACAAGTAAAGGAAATCTCCGCATATACTTATTAACATCCAAAAAGCTCAGAAAGAGAATGATGGGTAGGGAAAACTTCATATTTCTATATACAGATGGATAGATTTCCCCCACAGATTAATTCAGGTAACTGATAAATGACAAAGATCAACCTTGCATAAAATCACTGAAAGACCTATGGGTGGCAGGGGGTAGTACATTTCCAGTCTCATAGCCCTCCATCAATTGGGCAAGACAAAGCAACTCTAAGAGGTTCTTGAATATAAAATACTTGATTTTCTTCAGCGCCTATAACTTTAATGGACATTTTTTCATCACTAAAAAAAAAAAAAAAAATAGCAACAGCTGCCCAGCAGTTAAAAGGGAACTAAATCACATTTCCTAACACAGCCTAATTTTTTCTACACAACAGAAAAACTGACTCTGAGCATATTAACCTCTCCCTAGCCTCCCACCTACAAAAATAACACCCTGCTCTTAAATCCATTCTATTAAATATATTGAAGAAATAATTTCACATAAAAGAACTAAGCAGACTGTCACCACACAGGCTCTGTTTACAAATGACTGGGATTAGGGATGATCTGGCAGAAATCAGAATGCAAAGTTTGGACATACTTCTCAGTTCACATGTACACTCAAGGTTTTGTAACGCAGGGAAGTTGGAAATCTTCGCAAGGCAAATTTTTAACAAACTAAAGCATATGATATAGTTTATTTACACTTAATGATCACCTGGTGGCATGAAAAAAGAGAGAATACAGAATCTAGAGTATACCATCTTTCAATTAGGCAATGAGGCAGCCCTGAGAAAGCCTTACTCATTGAATACCATATGCAGCTAACAGGACGGTCATTAAGGAAAAAGCCATACAAATACAAGGCAGTGCTTGCTGTTCAGCTTCACACACAACCCTCATATTTTGAGGCAGGCTTAAAAACCATTGATGTGTTTAGTTTTGCCCTCTTGCAAGCAAGTTGATCTGTTAGCCAGCATTTTGAAAACATTCTTCTAGAAGTCAAGTCAATACCGAACTTGTGATAGCATCTGTTGGAAATGTTTAAAGCATAAGGAATCTTCCTCCCATAATTTATGTCTCAAGGACCTTTCTTAGTAAGTTTAAAAGAGAATGTTTCAGAAGAGTGGAAAATATTAACAAAGCCCTGAGCATTTAGTGTTCAAATCTAAAAGTAAATTCTGGTGAGTCCCTTATAAAACAATTTCCTAAACAATGGTCTTGCTTCGGAGAAATACATGGAACTCACATGTTGATAAGTGCTAGTGAATGAAAACTGCCAGACTAGAAAACAGTTCAAAGGACTGAAATGTTGAAATCAAGAAACAACACAGGTACAAAACAGTACGTATGACTCCATTATATACACATATTTGAGTGGGTAGATATTCATAGAAAAATTAGCAAGATATGTACCAAATATTAATGCTAGCTAGCTACTGCTGTGTGGTAGGATTACAGGTTGAATTTTATGTTTCAGTATTTTCATATATTTTTGTATTCTTTGTGCTGATTTAATAGCTTCCAAAATTCCCATAAATGTTATTTCAAAAATTATTTTTAAAAAATCCTAAAGGAAGAAGAAAATGACATTTATTATTTTTTTCTTACAAATAGTTTATTGTCAAGTTGGAACACCCAGTGCTCATCCCAAGTGCCCTCCTCCATGCCCATCTCCCCCCTCGCCCCCACATCCATCAGTCCTCAGTTTGTTTCTCAGCATTCAAGAGTCTCTCATGGTTTGCCTCTCTCCCTTTCCCCCCCCCATTTCCCCCCTTCTTCTCCCCCATGGTCCTCAGTTAAGTTCCTCCTAATCCTCCTATACGTGCAAACATATGATATTTGTCCTTCTCTGCCTGACTTATTTCGCTCAGCATAACACCCTCAAGGTCCATCCATGTTGCTACACATGGCCAGATTTCATTCTTTCTCATTGCCATGTAGTATTCCATCATATAGATAAACCACATCTTCTTGATCCACTTGTCCGTTGATGGACACTTAGGCTCTTTCCATGTTTTAGCTATTGTTGAGAGTGCTACTATGAACATTGGGGTTCAGGTGCTCCTATGCATCAGCATTTCTGTATCCCTTGGGTAAATTCCTAGCAGTGCTATTGCTGGGTCTTATGGGAGTTCTATTGTTATTTTTTTGAGGAACCTCCACACTGTTTTCCAGAGGGGCTGTACCAGTTTGCATTCCCACCAACAGTGTAGGAGGGTGCCCGTTTCTCCACATCCTCACCAGCATCTCGAGTTCTCTGATTAGCTCAGAAAATGACATTTAAAATAGGCCTACATGACTATCTTAAGTCAGTCAAACTACTAGAGAACACTACCCAGAATCTAA